TTTTGAATGCTTGTGGACTGACAGACAACAGTAAATAGACTGACACATACACAGAGAGCTACTGAAGAGCAGAAGCTAACTTGCGCTCTGCCGGATGCGCTTTTATACTTCCTGGCGCTCACGTCACCCCGCTCGTGACGTCTCGCTGCTCCATTGGACTGATTTCACACGTGCTTCAGAACGCGGTCACGCAGGGGCGTTCCCAAAGCGATCTCGACGCAGCTCGAGTTCCTGAAGGGGAACTTTAATTTTCCCCTTCATTCAAGGGCTTGCTTCAAGCATGCGTATATCACCAGCTCATCTGTCTTCTTTCTGAGTTGGAATTGTTTCCTTGGTTCAATGTATTTCAGGAGAAACTGGAGCGCTGAATCTGTTGGCAAAAACATCATAGGATCAAATATGCTGGTATTTTGGTTCATTTTGAGTCGAGAGTGACTGTCAGGCACATCTGAAAGTTAGCTTTGATTGAGCCACAAACTGTTTCAGATGGTTCAGTGCGAAAACAAAAAACAACAACAACAAAAAAGTTTTAAAAGAATGATTTGTTTGCAGAACGGACACCTCTCTGGATCGTTTGCCTGAAGCTATGGATTACAGGTAATAATGTTGTAAATAATGTTCAGTTTCTTGCACAGACCAATCGTTTCACTTCATAAGACCTCAATATATTGTCAGGAGCCACGGGTATTAATTTTGTCTTGACTGTTTATGCTATTTTGACTCAAAATGACAGTAGCCATTGACTTGCTTTTTATAAATCACAAAGGACCACAGTTTTAGCTAAAATTCTTCTTTACTGTTCTACTAAAGAAAAAATGTCACAGCCTGAGGTTGAGCAAATTAACAGTAAATTTATATTTTTGGGTGAAGTTTCCCTTTAAGACCTTTAGAGAGGTTTGTCTCCATAAATGGATCATAAGTCATTTACGGAACATTCACATACAGCTGAACATTGTCAAGCTTTACAAGTAGTACGCGAACATTCACAATAGGATTGATAATGGCAATAATTTAAGGTCCACTGGCCAAATAGAGAAAACCTTTCCTCATCTTATCAGTTACACGCTGTGATTATCTAAGCAACAGGAGCGAGAGCGTAATCATCTCTACTTAAGGCATGTTTCCCACCTGGGACAATGGAATGCCATCCCATCACCACGGCAACCAGTACTACCACACAAGCACTTGACTCTTTAGAAGAGACTGAATTGAGAGGAAATCTCAAAAGGTTATGGCCGCATAAAGGGCTCGACTTCCCAAAGCTTCCCACTGTTCGAACGTGATTATAAAATTACTTCAACAAAAAAAAAAAAGTTGGCTGTGAATTGAAAGTGCTGTCAGTCATTCACATGGCCTGGTGGTGGTTTGTAAAAAGGTTTGTGTGATCTGGTTGAGAAGATGCTGTTCAGCAATAATGGGCAGGCCCACCTACAAAGAATGTCTGACTTCAGACTTTCTGGCATGCTTTAGTATGCTGTACATTTCTAAAAAGAGCTATGATGCATTTTAATTTCTTTTAGCAAAAGGCAATATAAAACCACTTTTCAAAACATGATAAAGGAATTTATCTGCTCCAAATTAGGGATGCACGATATTATCGGACTGATATCGGAATCGGCCGATAATGGCTTTAAATGTAAATATCGGCATCGGCCCGATATGAAAAATTATGCTGATATGTCTTGCCGATAAAAGGAATAGGTTAACTCACATGTGCTCAGGGTGTGCTAGCGATTAGATCACGTCAGCAGTGTGGATCATTCTTGAAGCAAAGTTTTGCCTGAATGGTGATTAGATTCACTCTTTTGGATCGCTGCATTTAATCTGTGAAAGCACATACAGAATGATGCGTTCGGTGTATGATAGAGTAAACAGTAATAGCACGTGCAGCGGCAGCAGTGACAGCCTCCCCCAGGTCCTAACCATAGACTGTATAAAAACATGGACGTAGTGTCCGTGACAACCCGTAGACTTCCGACGAGCGTTTTGAAGCCTAAAGTAGGCGGAGCCTATGGGATTGACTCCCTTTTGCAGCCAGCCTCTAGCGGCCAGTTGACGAATTACAGTTTAAGTCACTTCCGTGTTGGCTTCACGAGAGAGAGTGGGAGGTTGCCGCTCGGTCCTAACAGCTGTTCGGTATAAACACTCCAAATAAACACTTTTCTATCTCTACTACTCATTCAAAAGCAACAAAAAAAGCACATGTGCCATTAAATTCATTTCAGGACAGGTAGTATTCATGTGATAGAAGACAAAATTATGTTACTAGTTTTTAAAGAACTGAACAACAAGTCAGCAACTTAAGTCAGCTATTTATACAACAGTTACAACAGCAATGCAATATTCTACCAGTATCATAATATATGTTGTATAGTATATTGCTCTAATCAACAAAGTGGGGATAATTTAGACCTGAAAACATTGAAAAATCTAATAGAAAATCAAAGTTTTGGTATTGTGAAAATTTTAATTATCACATATAATGAAAAAAGAAAACTTCCAAGGAATTAAAAAAATATTTTAACAACTCAACTTTCTCTCAAATTGTCATACTGATAATATAATAAATATATTTATAAAATATACATATAAGTAAAATTATAAATATATTGTTTTTATATTGCAAATCAGTGTTGATTTAGTATCACTGAGCAGGGTTCCCACGCTTCTTGAAAGTACTTGAATTTCAGACATATGGATTCAAGGCCTGGAAAGTACTTGAAAACAAACATAGGTCCTTGAAAGTGCTTGAATTAAATTTGAAATAAATTTAGTTTATGCAGGGATTAAAGTTTTCCATCGCTACGACTGATTTCCGTCAATAGGAAAAAAAATTAGGGGAAAAGAAACATGTAGGCATTGTTGTTGATGTTCTGCCGGCACACCAAAAATCATTCCCGGCCACGGCTGCAGCTTCTTAATAACTACTATTATTTTTGTATTTAATCATTTATAAGTGATATATATAATTGTCCATGAAGGCTGGAAATGAAAAACACCTTATTAAGGTGTGCAGAATTATTAGGCAGGTTCTTTTCCGGATGAAATGAGGCAAAAAAAAAAAAAGAAAAGATATTTAACTCAGACTGAGAAGTCAAAAATGATTACATCTCCATGAGAAATATTAAAAACTAATGCAATACAGAAATTTCAAAGTTAAGGCATGACCATTGGTCAGCAAAATGCTCATTGGGTCAGCGGGGTCAGCAAAAAAAAAAGGTGGAGAAGAAAAGAGCATGTTAACTGCAAAAGAATTAATTATTAATGTGAAGAATTAAGTGTGAAACTATCAGGAACCTTTTAGTCTCCAGTGCCACCATTTTCCAGAACTGCAACCGTGAGTCTCCAGAATTACAAGTTGACAGGTTCTCAGAGACTTTGCTTGGGTAAAAAATCCTAAAAAATTACCCCTACTTAATAAGAATAACATTCTGAAGTGTTGTGAAATACATGAAGACTATAGAATTGATCTTCCAGAATCTGGCAGTAAGTTTTATGAGCTCGTTTTTGTCAGTCTCTGTAAGACACACTTTTCAGGATAGGAGATGGACTAAAAATTAACTCCTAAAACTTACTGCAACATGGAGCTAAAGAGAAAATGTAGAACTTGAAAAATTGGAAAAACCGCTTAGTGAAAAGCGTTTATAGTTTAAAAGCAAATAGAAAGTCCTATTTTTTTTTTATTTTCTTAATATTTTTTTGCAGATTTGCACATGTACAAGGTTTAAAATGCTCATGAAATATTTTCAAAAAATACTGACATTTTGAGCAGCTGCATGTTTGAGCTGCATTCCTAGGTCAAAGACGAAAAAATGGGATTTACAATAAAAAGTAATTTACAAAATTATTTTGACTTGAGTTTATTTATTAATGAGTAACGTATATTTTAAATGAATGTGCAAATTTTTAATGTTAACAGGTTTTACAACATTTAACCACTTTTTATTAATTAAAAAATTTAGAAATTCTTTCAAATTTAAATCTTGTACAAGAACTACAGCAAAAATCAGTTTGATGCATATTTTATCAATATTTTAGAAATTGAATTTTATTTATCACCAGTACTGACTTCAATGGATTTCATTAAATTCCTTTGAACACAACTGCTCAAAACGGTCTAAATTTATGAAACCTACACATTCAAAACATTATTACTCTGAAATTTTTAATGTAAATGTTAAGTGTAAGTGAAATGTTAAGTACTGTAAGGTCTTTCATGACACTACATATGCTGGGGTGTGAATTTGATAGGTGCTTGATATAAAATAAATGGTGCTTTAAAAAGTCCTTGAAAGTCCTTGAATCTGGTGTTCATGAAAGAGTGGGAACCCTGACTGAGATACTATTATAGTTTTTGTTAATACTTTGAATTCGATTTTATTTTTATATTTTCTGCTATAATGTTAATTTTAGTTAAAGTTTTATTAATTTTGTTGTGTTTGTCATTTTTATAACTTTTTGTTGTTTTTAAATATGTCTATATTATTTTTTTTTCTCGAATTTTTATTTCGGTTTGAGATATTTTAGTACATCAAGTCAATGAGTTGCCTTGTCAGCTAGCTGAAATTAAATCAATTAAGTTTAATGTTTTTTAATGCTTTATTTTATTTTATTTAACATTTATGTTAAGTATTATATTTTTATGCTTTTTGTTTTAGTTGACTATAATAACCCTGATGCAAACCACCTAATACTTAGGAAGGGGGGCTTAGGTGTTTATGTACGTGATTACCAATGTAAAAAACTTTATGTCAAAAAGGTTGCTGACCCCTGAACTAAGGCCTTCATTACAATGTTGAATGTTAATTAATTTATCAATCATCAGTCAACAGCAACAATGGTTCAGTGGTTCCTTGTCTGATTTCAAACAAATGAAACATTATTAAATGATTTACAACACAAGGCTGTGGAAAACCCTAAGCCTAAGGCAAACACAGGAAATGGGACAAGGCTAGAATAAACTGATGCACACAAGACTTCAATAATCCAGTGGTACGTACCAATCGGCTGGTAATCCAAGGAGATGTCTGAAGGCGCTTTCAATACTGCAGACCTTCGGTACACCACATGCACTCTTCCCCTGTCCTCGTGTTCCTGTGTTCCTCGCTCCAGAGGCTCAATGAAGTACTCATCGGAATCAGTTCGAATCATACCAGCCTCGGGAGAACAAAAATAAGAATAATTGTTGACAGAAATAAAGGGAAAATTGAAGTCTCTCTAACCAAAGACTTATCTAGAGAATAAACCTATAAATAACTATGACAGATAGACAGATTTGACAGTACAAAATATACTTTGTATGTACATTATCAAAAATTTTCATAAATGTAGGTGACAATAAATCTCACCACTGAATGCAAGGCCCCTGCCAAAACACATCATATGGTTTTGTTGGAAGGGCAGATGCTCTATTTATCAGCCAACCCTCATCCCCTCATTTACTATCATCTTTAATCTAACATATGGTAACAGTCACAACATATTATGAACAGGCACAGAACACATGGCTCACATCCAAACATTCCTTATACTCAGCGTTAAGCAACACATCATACATTTTCGGCCTCATGAAAATTCTATTGAATTCTGCTGATAAAAGACAGTCCAGTGTGTGCCTTCACAACCAAATATTTTCCCAAAATACCAGAGAGAGTTAAATGTTTGATGCATTTGTCAGTGAATAATCAGGGGTTTGAATCTCCTCTCTGCTCTCTGCTCTCAGCCTCCTATTAGTTTCAAAATCAAAGACATCTTTAATTCAAAAATGCTTTCAGGATACAAAACGCACCAACACACACAGTTGTAAACAAAATTAGTTTTTCCTGCATAACTCAAACTAATTCCCCTGACTTATTTCCTTAATGAGTATGAAAAACTTGTATTATATAATTATTTATCACACAAAATTATTCAGAAATCAACAAAGTGGGAATAATTTAGACCTGAAAAGTCTAAAATCAAAGTTTTAGTATTGTTCAAAATTGAATTATCATATATAATGAAAAAGAAAACTTCAAGGATTTAAAAATATATATTTTACCAATTCAGCTTTTCTCTCAAATTGCCATACTGATAATATAAAAAATATCTAATGAACAAAAAAATAGAATAGCAGTATTTTCACCATTGGACCCCACTGTATATTACTACATTCTTTGTGTTTTATTTACTATACAAAATCATTCAGAATCCATCTGTCAATTTAGCATACTCGTAATATAAAAATAAAACAAACAAGCAAATAAAAATGAAATAAGGCAATAAACTGCAAAGCAGAAGCATTTTCACCAGTGGTCTTTTTATTACACCACTGTATATTATTGCATCCTGCGTGTTTCAACTTATGTACAACATGTGTGAGTCACTACAAATCATACTGACATTACACCAGACCATCTTGACTTGCAATATGTGACCATACATGTACATGTGCTCACTTCTGTAGTGTGAGTTCATATGCTCAACTGTGTATTTGTCTCTGTGCACGCGAGTGTTCGAATGTACAGTACTTCAAGTGTGTGTGTGCATGGACCGGCCTCCTTGCTCTTTTGAAACAGCCTCTCAGTTTTACCTCCAGCCCCAGAGCTGGCCTCCTGGACACAGAACAACCTCTCAGAGGCCATGCTTTGGAATGTGCTGAGAGACTAGCGCTCTCTCTCTCAGTCCACTCTCCCCTAAGTCATAACCTGGCCACCCCTTCTCAGCGCCATCCTGTGCACTCAAGAACACAGGGTTTACCTTTCTCCATGCCTGCTGCCTTTATCCATTTCCGATGAACTCAATGCTTCAGTAGTCAGTTTTTGCTTATAGGACTTTTTAAAATGCAACCAAGGTATTAGCAGATTCCTAAAGCTGCACAAATGCACCATGAGAATCGCTCCACCACAATAACATTGGATCATTATGTATTATTATAAAAACTCATACCCAATCTTGTTCAAACTTCCCGAGGCATATAAATATGCCGTGCACTGCATGTGCACGAGGACAGAATCAGTATGCGCCAAACATACGTGTTCCAACCCCATGATTCTTCCCTACAGAACCACCTGAGCCAAGCTGTTTGACTGTTTGAGAGGGAGTATCTTTGCATTTTAATCACTTAAATTAGAAGTGAATTAATGCCATTTATTGCAGGAATAATTTCCTGATGACAGTGGATTGTAACAGAACATAGCTCCCAACTGCTGTTTAACCGTGTAAGATACTGCTGCCTTTGGGTGCATGCCAATTAGACTTGTGCCGGTATTCGGTAATGCGATATATCACGGTAATGAATATGCACGATATTGTTATTACTGTATTATGACAGCACTTTTTTACAACTAAATTTCAATATCGTGATAATACCGTATACCGTTATAAAAGCATTAGCAATTAATCGCAACATCAGAATTTGATACCGGCATATCCCTAATGCCAATATAGGCAAATACTCTAATATAACCCTAAACTATGTTCTAATTGGTCTGTTGTACACTAACTGTCAGGGATTCATCACAGTCACTTCAGTCACCAGCCAGGATAATCACCCGATCACAGTCACCTGAGTTCTGATCACCCACACCTGCTGTCACCAATCAAGCCACACTACAAATACACACACAGCACAGTCACTCACTGTCTGGTCTGCCGTTCACTCCTACGAACTGCTCTGGACTCTCTCTGCCAAATTCTC